CCAGACTGTCTCACCAATTTTCTGCACTTATTTTATGATACTCTTCATTATTTCTGGAAATAAACACTAATTTTGGCACAGACAAAATTTTAGTAAATTTTCAGTTTTTACTCAAAAAATGTGGCTATTTCTGTCCCAATCTTCTGAAGGAAAGTGTAGACTATAAACAGGACTATTTTGTGAATTTGTGATGAAAAGAGGAAACTGGTGGTGAAAAGGATTTACATGTATAATGCAATTGCAAATAATTTCAGGTATTGCAAAATAGTGAGAGTAAACATTTAGCAGATGACAATGCTTCTGACAATTCTCTAAAGGAGCTCATTTGCCATTCAAACACATCAATTTTTGACTTCACAGTATTGATTATATATCGCATACTTATATATATATATATACTGAAAACATTTCAGGAAATAACTAACAAAAAAAATGTTCAAACCTTTGACGCTGCTAATCTTATTCCCGACCAACTGTTTTGCAACGAATGCAGCCATTTTCCAATATGAAAATTAGATACGAGCTGTAAGAGAGACCAGAGGAGAGAAAGTAAATATTAAAGAATGAATAGCTAACCTTGTAGGGCTCCTGTGAGAAAAGATGCCATGGTGAGAAATGGTCAGTACTGTAGTAAATATCAGCCAACGTCAATTTACAAATGACAGCACTTTTCCAGTAGTACATACAAAACTATCCATGGCTATTCCACCAGCTGTGCACACTCCCCTTTTGTGCAAATTGTTAACCAATGCACAGCAACAGCAGCTGTTCCAATTGTCTGCAGGCCAAGTGAGTTGTGATGGGTCATTCCATTATTAATAGTCCCCTCCCAGAGTGTCTGACACACTTTCTTCACAAATGAAATCAACTGTTAATTAATTATTACTCTTGGTGGTGCTCTTCACTAAGTATGTGTTATCTAACAACCACAAGGCCATCTGAATCAATCTTTTCCATTATACCCTATATGCCAAACCAAATTAACCATATTCCAAGATGATTGTGTTTCTATCATTTATGCAGAAACACAGATGATAAAAAAAGAAAAAATATAATTTTGTTCTCAAAATTTTTATTTTTTTATTTTAAAATGTCATTGAATTTATGGCTTTTAATTTGGTTTGTGCATGTCTTTAACTGATGTGCATGTCTTTAACTAATGTGCATGTCTTTAACTGATGTGCATGTCTTTAACTAATGTGCATGTCTTTAACTAATGTGCATGTCTTTAACTGATGTGCATGTCTTTAACTAATGTGCATGTCTTTAACTGATGTGCACGTCTTTAACTAATGTGCATGTCTTTAACTAATGTGCATGTCTTTAACTAATGTGCATGTCTTTAACTAATGTGCATGTCTTTAACTAATGTGCATGTCTTTAACTGATGTGCATGTCTTTAACTAATGTGCATGTCTTTAACTGATGTGCATGTTTTTAACTAA